AGGACTTTTTTATTAGATTCAGATAAAAATTTATTCTATGTGGTTTCCCCTTTCCAATCTTGTTGCTACTTCAAATTTGTAATATTTGATATTTTTTAAATATAGAAAAAGACTAACTTTAATGAAACTTGTATCCGCAAAGTGTATTTTGTAATGTTTTAAGAGGTTATTAAAATGTGATTCTATATAATTATAAAACTTATTTTCAATGCTGCAAAAATCTAATTGAGTTAAACCCCAAATTTTAATTACTTACTAAAATAGTTTGAGATAATTAAATATGCTAATGCAATAATGAATGGATAGAAACATAAAATACATCTTACAATAGTAACATAAAATATCTTATAATAGTCCTCTCTTGCTTTAATTATTGCAGCCATACTCAGATTAAGCTTTTCTACCTTTTAAATAATTAAAAGCCAATTATTTTAATTCTCATTTTTATGAAATTACTTTATGAAAATTCAAGCATCTAATACAATATGCATGAAAATTTAACATGCATCTGATAATAAACAATCGAATGCTTTTCCATTTAAGCACTCCTTAATTCATATCCAAAAACTAGTAATACCTAACATGTCAAGCATTTGGCTTTTAAAGGTCAAAGCACTGAACATTTACCATCCTCCAAAGCCCCACTGAGAAAGGAAGGCAGAAAACCTTTCCATTAGTGGGATGGTAATAAAACCTCAAACCTTGTAGTTCAAAGGAGAGCTTAGAAGAGATCTTTCATAGTTCCAGAATCTAAAATATTTCTAAATAACCATATTAAGTTATAGTAACGTAAATTAACAATCAGAATGTATAATGATTTAACATGTATTTTGTAACGGGGGTTAAGAAAAATAGTGTACCTCGGTCAAAGGTTTTATCTGGAATTTCAAGCACCCGAGAATCTTTTTGTAAATGTTCCAACTTAAATACACTTTCAGATAAACTGCAAATAAAAAAAAGCATCTCTAAGTTACTTTTCCAAGAGAAACCACCCACACTTCAAGAAAATTACCATTGCCATAAATTAGCTACTCAACTCAATATTTGTAGAAGCAGATCTTCTAGGATTATTCTGATCAAAACATTTTTCTGTATCTCCCAGTATTTATCCTGGGAAAGCCAATGTTTGTTGCTGAGGGATAGTGTGTTCTACTGAAGCTTGTAATTGCTTTTTTTTCCACTTCAAAATGAGACTACCCTGAATAGAAATACTACTGAAATGGAAGAGCTTATCAAAGCCAGCAGATCCCACTCCATCATTTTGCAACTGAGCAAGTTGTTTAAATGAAGTATAAAAAATGACAAGTGCCAGGATTAAAACACAAACTTCATGGGTCTGAGAAACATATGCTTTTCATCATAATGTGACCCACTTGATCTCAATGGTAATTTATTTTTTAACTAAGCAATTCTGCTAAATTTTCCTCCTACTTTATTACTTAAACATTTTATATTACAAATGTAATTTCTAAAAGAATCTTTTTAGTTCTTGATCATCAGAGCTGAAACAAACATTAAAAATTTAATTGCTCAGAGTAGAAAAACAAGCAAGAATGCTGAATACTCAGCACACTATGGTAATAAATCAATTCCAGGAAGACAAAGACCATTCTTACAGTACACTTATTTTCCCCCTTCTATTGTACATTACATGTTTATTCTCTCATTCAGCTTAATATTGCAAAACAATGCCACTTTACACAGCAAAATGAGGACTTGAGATGATTGCTCTTCACATATTCGTCAAACGATGCTGATATTTGGAGCATAACTGTGTCAAAGCTTCATCCTTAACATCTCATCCTTCTGACTCCAGCAACTCTTGCTTGAAAACCTATTTTTTTTTCTATACATGTCTGTGCTGCATCTCCAGAAAGGCAGTGAGAGTTTCTCTTCAACATGGGCTCCGGTGGGGGCATGCAGGAGAGTGGCATATGCAACTTCAGGTTCCATGTGCAGAGAGGCATCTGTACAAGCGAGTCACTTGACTGACAAGTGAACAGATCTAATCACATCAGTGGGGGGAAAATGTGGTTTCCACATCAGTAACCCAACACAAGCTGCTGATTCAGGGCCACATCAATATGAAAATGTGAAAAACCAAATTTTATACAGATGTATCACAAAAGTTTTTTCCAAGTAATAGTTCAGGAACCTAAGTATTTCAGATGGAAAAAACACTAGTAGATACTTCACAATGAAATATGCCAGGTTCACTGAAAAATTTGCTACCTGTCCTTATGACAGAATTACCTAATTAATAAAATAATAATACAATAAATTTTAAAATGTTAACACGAAAATACTCACATTTGCATATCAGAAGTCAGTTTTTTCTTTAGATCATTAAGGTTTCTTTTAGCAGTATAAGCTTCCCACTTAAAGACAACAAAATATTATTAAAATATCTATGCAAATTTAAATGAAAATAAGCAGAAATATATCAGCCAATGCACATATAATTTTAATAAGTTCTAAGTATATTAACATTGAATTTAAGAAATTACTGAAAAAATAAATGAGTTTCAGGTAAGCAAATACCTGCCAACAAATGGTGCTTTCTATGTAGGATCAAGAATAGTTTGATTGGGCAAATAATAAGCTAAGGGCTATGTAAAAGGATGCAAGCTTCAAGCAAAGGAAAAAGAATTAGAATCATAGAGCTTGGAAAATTTGATCAGTTATCTTAAGGCAATCATCTCTAGAGAAAAAAAAAAAAACGCAATTCTCTGAAACCATAAAGGTCTAAAACACTTTCACAGCTTGCTGGTAAAAAACACACCTTTTTTATATAATTGATATGATCAATGTCTATTGGACTTCAATGAAGCTCACAGAATTCTATAAATCATATTACATTTGTACTGATAAAAGGCTAAAACTCAAAGTACATTATTCATAGGAAACTCAGATTACATGCATTTTTGTGGAAGGTAGAAAATCCAACAACAAAACAAAACAAAAAAACAAAACAAAAAAAAAAAACAAGATTTACTAGCTTGTTCATATAAATGTAGGTACTGTCACTAGGTCTATAATTTTCCACAAGTTAAAAAAACAACATAGTATGCAAGCATTTCACAAATAAAAGGAAATATAGTATCAAACATATATTTACCTAACATTTAAGTACATGCTAAAAAGAGCAATGGACAAAGAATAGGTCACATAAATATTTACAAAAGTGATACCTTACTTATTTGTAGGCCTTGATTTCAAAAAATAGTGCATGTGTAAAAATTTTTCCAGAATGTAATGATGTCATCAATTTTTACTAAATAATTGTATGAAAACATATTAATACATCATTTATTAAACTATTAACAATGTGTAAACACATTGTTTCCAAATGCTTTCACTTTAATGTACTTTAATGTACTTTAACACATTTGCTTGTTAAATAGAAGACAAAATTGAGTAACAGGTAATAAGCTAATAATACTAAGGATATATGCAAAAAATAAATCTATACAAACTAATGGCAAATTCTTGAGATTATTTATTTTATTATGAAAGCCAAGGAGTCTGAGATTTTTTTTCCATAAATTTATTCACTCATCAGCCACACAGCCAGAGACAGGCTGGGCTAAAGAAGAACCCAGGATACGGTCTAGGTCTTCCACATGGGTGTCAGGGACCAAGTTCTTCCACCATCAGCTGCTCTAACCTAAAGTGCACATTAGCAGGAAGCTAGATAAGAAGCAGAGGAGCCTGAACTTAAATCAGGCAGCCCAACAAAAGACCAGGTATCCTAAGCAGCATCTTTACTGCCACATGAACTGTCCATCCAGTTCTGAGTCTACAGCTTATTTTCAAAGGTTAAGACAAATTTCAGCCAATGACCACATTATACTCCAAAACACTGTGTTCAAACACTGAGCACTCACATCTACAAAACCTTCTAAGAGGTCTGCTAAGGAAAAAGTGACATTTGCTCAGTAATGGAAATTGAAACACTCAGGGTAAAGACACAAAGAATGATCACAGTAAGGGCTGTTATTGGGCCTTGAAGGCAAGCTGCCAGTAAAGACAGCCATGTCCCACTTTAGAGAACTTGGGTTCAATTTATGGCTCCATCTCCTTGTCCTGGATTCCTGATCATGCTCTCTGAAGCAGTGGTAATGGAGTATTTGGAACCCTGGCCATCTACATGAGAGATATGGACTGAATTCCAAGCTCTCAGCTTCAGCCACAGCCCAGCCACAATCATTGTAGGTTCTCGGGACAAAAAGCAGTTATGTGCAGGGTTGTCTGTCTCTGTTTCTCCTTTTTCTTCTCTCCCTGGCAATTCTTACTCAAATAATGTTTTTAAGACTCATTTATCAAATGAATACTACTCAGGCAATAAAAAAAGGTCTTAAACATCTTTCACAACAAAATGCATGCAACAATCAAGTTTGCAAAAGACATGTCATCATTTCATGGGGTAACTAATCTCGGGGGTCTTGTGTTCAGCAGGCCCTGAGATCGCTGAAGAGTGAGGTCACAGTGATCCTCTGCAGCAGAAACAAGGGAGACAAACTGATAGTAGGGGATGTCGGTTTATTTGAAAGAAGTCACACGCTTACAAAGGGTAGGAAAAGGAGCAGGCAGAAAGGTGGTCCTGACAATACTTCCACCAAACCACGATACTGTGATAGGCTACTAGATATGTCTGTCTCTCTGAACCCTCCAATTAAGTTGAAGGTCAGGAAGCACAGAAAGTTAGCTGTGTCTCAGGTCAAACTCCTTACCTGCTGAAAAGCAGAATGAATGTAACATTTGACTTCCTAGGGTTCTTTATAAAGGAAGTCCTAGCACAGTTCATTAAAGGGGCAGAGAAGAGAGATTGGGATGCAGCCCATCACTCTTGCTGCATGTCCAGTGAACATGCCAGATTGGGGTCTCAGCCAAGGACATGGTGGTGTACCATGTGCCTATGGCCTCCAGCATGGGCATAGCAGGCAGAGATCCAGGGGCAATATCCCACAAAAGGCAGATAAAATATTTAAGGCAGTCTGAAACTTACCCAATTGATATGTGCTTCTTTCTCATAAGAAAGTATCTAAAAAACAAAAAAATTAAATGTTTCTTATAAGAAGTACATGCATCATAAACATTGGAAATGACTGACAAAAAAAATACATCAAGCAACTCCAAAGTCATAAACACCTCTAATGTAAAATTCGATGGACATATTATCTATTATGCTTTACATGTAAAGGTAATTAACAAGTTTAAATGGTAAACTTCTACTTTTTATGTTCTCCTGGAATAATTGTCCACAAAAACAGATGTATTTTTCACAGATAACTAACCTGGTTTAGTATGAGACCCCATTAATGTTCTAAAATCTTTCTTTTATTGAGTGCAATGTGTTTCATTTTCCAAGGAGATATAACTCTAAGATTTTTTATTTCACATTATTTGAATCCCTGAAAATGTGAAAATATCTCTAAGCACAAAATAAAGGCATACAACTGGTCAATCTATTCCATTTCTCTTTCAATCCATATAAACACACTAATATAAAAAACTATACAAATGAATGAATGCACACACACACACATACATACCAATCTTTGAGAATTACGAATGGTTCTATCCAGTTCTTGTTCAAGATCTTCAACTCTCTTTCTATGAAGAAAAAGTAATTATTCCACTATTAATACGTAATTACAGGAACAAACTATTTGAAAATATTAATTAAAACACCAAAAGGATTCCTGATAAAACTGACTTCATAAAAGCACACTGTAAGAATTAAATCAGAGATTCTAATTTTTTTTCTTTCACTAATGTTAATATTACTTTAAAAATAAAAGTGAGCTTTAGACACATTACAGCAACAAGAAAAAAGGCATTTAATACCTATAGATCAAGATTTCTTTTGTTCTATAGTTACGATCATCCTCAAGTGACACATCAGCCTTTTGATCAAGCTGGTAGTGTTCCTCAACCATCAGGTACCTTAAAGCAAAAGTGAACATTTATAATACATTCAAGGCATGTCATACAGAAAAGACTTTAATGTTTTTAACTGTACCAAAACTGGAACCTCCCATAAAAATATCCATAATTATCACTACAAACACAACATGAAAACTAATATGCAAGCATTTCTGATACAAAATTAACATAACAAACTCAAATTTCAAAGCAACACCTCTTAAAATAATCTTGCTATCACAACAGTCTCCAGAGATTTGTGTATGAATTTGGCACAGAAATAAGATTTTTAAAGTAAAAAAAAATGAAATTATACACATATATAATATTTATCCAGACTCCTATATAAAGCAGCATTATATTTGTTACACTGGAGTCAGGCACAATGAACTGTGTTCCAGACATTTTAGATTGGTGATTATCGATGTGGGAATCCCACATGTAGTTGCTCAGCCAGGCACAGCCCTGACTGTTGTAGATACCTGAAGAATCAATCAGCAGATACAAGATCCCTCTCCTTCTCTCTAATGCTGATTTTCAATTAGTAAATGAATAAATCATTTTCAAATCAGTTTTTAAAATCTTGACTAGGCTTTCAGGTCATATCACAAAGAAACAAAACTATATTACACCCAAAGTAAATTTTGCTAGTAGTATAATCAGCGCTGCCTATTTCCATTAGTGTGCGTACTACCTGCAGTGACAAGTACTTATGGAGCCCTTAGATTGTATCAGAAAATGTCTTAAAGCCTGATCTTAAGGACTGAACAGGGATGCAGAAGGTTCTAAAATTCCTATTGATGATTGTACCAGAAAATGTCTTAAAGCCTGATCTTAAGGACTGAACAGGGATGCAAAAAGGTTCTAAAATTCCTATTGAATAAAAATGCAAATGAAACAGAGAAACTAAGTCAAGTCTTGTGTCACTGAACAACAAGGATAAATTCTGAAAATATACTTAAACTAGTATACTTATCATGTCAACAGGTAAAACAAATATTTGGGACCACCATCACATATACTGTCTGACCCAAACAACAGCATGTGATATGTGACTGTGATCTGATCCAGTTGCAAGGCTCATGGATAGTGGTTCTTTGATACTACACTATCCATCTTGATTGATGTGATATTTCAAATCCCAAACAGATGACTCTGGACCTTTATGACCATTAGTGAATTACCTATGGAACTCAGGGGCTCAGCAAATGTTTTATGTTCCACATACTATAGTAAATGCCACTTGAGAAGCATTTCACTATATCAGGTGTTGTGCAAGCATTAAGAGAAATAAAGCCACCACATTTGGAAGTACATGAAACTATAATGACCACGGGTATGGGAAAGAAGAATGTTTTTAAAAACTACATAAGGTCCAGACAGTCAGAAATCCTTTGACACCTGTCCCTCTAGAGATGAGGCCTGTGTACACTCTCCTTGATTTTGAAAGGGCCTATTAAATTATCAATGCTAAAGAAACCCTGATGATATGACCATTACATGATTATTTAATCAGTCAGGTTCAGGAAAATGGTGGATTTTATGGCTCAGACCCCCACCATTGTCACATCAGGTGCCTTTCTGTGTACTTGGAAAAAAAGATGTGGGGCTGTGGAGGAAGACCAATGAGAGTTGTGTATGCACTGAGTCAGGAACAAGCTAATTTCTGGCTCAATGTACTGCACTGATTCAATAGGGAAAACAGTACTGACTTGACATTCTACAGAATCCACCCAAGATAGGTCTAGGTAGTCCCAGATCTATCAACTAGATCTATCAACCAGACTCCAATGAGTGCCACATGGGATGCCATTTTGTGTACTGAGGATAAGGCTGAGCAGCTAAAGAAACAACAGTGGGTTGCAGTCACTGTCAGTCATTGTCAGTTCTGGGACAATGTATTATACTAATTTCACAGGGAAAATAATAACAAAATGGTGTATCATGGGTTCCACCCAAAATAGGTCTTGGTGGCCTTCAGATCTAATGGCCAGCAGGTTCCAGCAAGAGCAGCACTGCTGACAACCCTATAAATTAGGATAGTTGGTGACTATACTCAAAAGCACTGTTCAACCTGAAAGTAGGAAAAAGGCTGTATAAGCAAAGGTAAAGCCATAGCAGAGGATCATACGGGGTAGAAAGTGGAGAACAGAAAGCTGGGACTACAGAGACCATGGTGGGAGTCTAACACAAGAACTTGGGAATGAAATTCACTGGCACAACTGAATGTGAAGAAAGAATCAGGTACTAAATGCAATTAAGTAAAATTGACCTGTAGACCAGTGGGCAACACAGCTTAGCAGTGTCCCCTAAGGAAAGGTATCTGCTAGCCAGATGTGCAATGCTGAAAAGCCAAAGAAGAGACACAGGCACAATATTACTGATGTCTCCCCTATAAAGGAACCTCAGAGTTAACTGAGGAAGAAATCTCAAAAATGGGGGATTAGAACCGGCACCATATGGGATCCTAGCACATGCAAGGCGAGGACTTTATCCACTACGCTATTGCGCTGGGGCCAAGACACACTATTAAAAGGCCAAATATAAGAGTTATGGGAATTCCAGAAGGTGCAGAAAGAGACACTGGATTTTAAAATGTATTCAATGAAATAATAAATGAAAATTTCCCTAATATGGAGAACGAACTGGAAACAAAATACAGGAGGGGCACAGAACTCCCAAAATCTTTGACCAAAAGTGATCTTGGCCAGAATAAATGATAATCAAGCTCTATTTAGTAGAAAACAGAGTAAAGATCCATTAATATGCAGGTGAAAAAAGCAATTAACATACAGAGGCAACACAATCAACCTCACCACTGACATCTCATAGAAAACTCTATGGGCCTGAAGAGATTAGAGTGATATATTTCAGATTCTACAAGGAAAAAAATGTAAGCCCATAATAATGTACCCAGCAAAGCTTTCTTTTGTTTTTGAAAAGGAAAGAAAATTCTTCCACAATAAGAAAATCTAAGTTTGTCTCTTCCAGACCTGCCCTAAAACAAAACTTAAAGTTGTTCTATTGAGAGAGAAAACGAATAGCACCTGCCCAAATCAAAGACAAACATGGAGAATATCCCAATAAAACAAGAAAAGAAGACTACATTGAACATTGAACAATGAACAATGCATTGTTAAAATGACAGCACCAAATTACTACCTATTGGTATTAACCCTGAATGTAAATGGTTTAAATGCATCATGAGAGTGTCACTGATTAACAGACCAGATCAAAAAGCAAAACTCATCTATCTATTGCCTATGGCAGACATATCTCATCAACAAAATAGATGCAAACTGACATGAATAATATTTATACACAAATAAATGAGCACTAATGTTTTCCACCACTGCCCAAATATACATAGTAGGCTTATCATTATTGCATTGGATTTGTTATATAAAGTCAACACAAATCCTGAAATACGGAATGGGCATTGTGGTGCTCCAGGTAAAGCTAATATCGGCAATGTTGATATCCACTTGGTTGCTGGCCTTTGTCTCAGATGCTGCTCTTGAGATCCTGCTCTCTTTCAACTTCTGGGAGAAGCAGAAGGTAATGGTCTTAATTGTTTGTACCCATGCCACCCACATGGAAAAACCCAGTAAGCTCCTGGATTCAACTCCTCACTTCCCTAACTATTCAATCTATCTAGGGAGTGAACAACTACATAAAAATTCCTGACTTGGGTCAAGTGCAGTGTACTTGAGGTTTTATGGCACAGGGAAAAGCAGTCTGAATCAACCAAATGGAAAATTCTTTGCACAATACACAACAGATAGTAGAGTAGCATCCAAGATTTACAGAGAGCTTCAGATACTCAAACAACAGCAAAACAAACAACTCCATAAGGAAATGGATGAAGGACATGAGCAGGCATTTGTCAAAAGGATAAATTCAAATGGCTGGCAAACATATGAAAAAGCGCTCAGGCTCCATAGCCATTAGAGAAATGCAAACACAAACCATACTGAGGTCCCACCTCACTCCAGTGAGAAAGAATTACACACAGAAATCTACTAATACCACCTCTCATAAGAATGAGGGGGAAAGGGCAAACCTGCTCCATATTGATGGGGAGTATACCTTGTCCAGCCACTATGGAGATCAGTATGGAGAGTGCTTTGGCAAGAGGAAACTGATCTGCCATATGACTGAGGTATCCCACTTCTGGGAATATAGCCACGTGAATTGAAATCTGAATATGAGAAAGGGACCTGCATACCTATATTTACAGCAGCATAATCCATGATAGCAATCATATACTAATAATCTTATGTCCATAGAAATTGGGATGGCTATAAAAAAGTGGTATATCTACTTCATCGAATAATATATGTCCATTAAAAAATAATGAAAATCTACCATTAGCAACAATCTACTATTTGCAATTGGAGAGGAGAGCACTATGCTTAGGGAAAAAACAAGTTTCAAAAGGAAAAGAAATGCAGTATGTTCTCTCTGAAATAAGGCAATGTTATACAACTACACAAAACAAATACATATTTTTTTTCTCATAGATCAAATGCATAATGGAAAGTAGAATACTAGGAGTGAATAAATACTGCTGTTTGTATCTCTACTCCTAAATAAAAGAAGGACTCCCAAGTGAGTAAATTCCCATTGTTTCAGGATATACATTATAAGACAGAATGTCGGACTTGTGACTACTCCTGAAGGACTATAACATTGTGAACCAATGGGAGAAATGGTTAGGAGGAATGGGGAAAGAAGAATGGGAGAGGATGGGAGAATCCTTAAACTGAAAACAAAGCATCACAGAAAACAACAACAAAAAAACCCCACTAAAATAGAAGAATAAGGTTTATAAGAAAACTGCCAATATTCAGCAATAGAATGAATATAAAATTAACAATTTAGATCCTTAAATTCATGCCATTTATATTCCAATATTTATTAACAATACTCTGAATTGATGGTGGAGATTAAATCTATT